GGTTTTATTATTTTTAAATTTTTTATGATTATTATTAATTTTTTTTTTAATTTAAAAATGAAATTTGTAATTATTTTATAATTAAATTAAATTAGAAAATAAAATAAACTGTTATAAATTTAATATTTTATTATTATTTTTATTCATATTACTATTATATTATTTTTATTTTTATTTTTATTTTTATTTTTATTTTTAAATTAAAATTTAAAATACATTTTTTTTCTGTTCAAAATGTCTTGCATTAAAAATGGTTTTATATAAATTTTTTTGTATGCAAAGTACATATTTGCCAATATACTTGAAATGAAATGTTCAATCTCAACAACTGTGTCCAATTTCTATTTGTATTTGTGTTTGTAGAATGCAACAGCTTTGATGGCTGCTTGGACTGGGCAAACATTTTGGCCAGCTCGAGAGTGTGAAGACAGCAGCGATGCGTAACGGCCTTTCTCCGTTTGGACATAGATTTAGGAGGCATAGACCAGAGAGTATGTGTGAGTGTTGTGTGTGTGTGTGTATTCTACTTGAAGTTTAACTGAAGTGAGCAGCATTAAGTTTAAGAACAACAAAAATCGACTGCTGCTAAATTTCACTGTTTATTTCTTGTACTCGAGCTTGAAATTAAAAGACTATAAACAATCGTGAGAATGGCACTTGAACATGTTCAAAACAATAATGGCCTTAAACGAAATGTACAAGAAAGAAACAGTCAACAGGCAAGAGGTAAGAGGCAAGAGGCAAGAGGCATCAGGCTGGTGGGGTAAGGTTACAGGGGGAGTTGGGCAACGGGCAACGGGCAACGGGTAACGGGCGACAGGCATCAGGCAACAGGCAACCGGCAACAGCAAGACAAATCAACAAGCCGCAGTCGCTGTGCTGTGTTCGAGCCAAAGTTAAAGCCAACAAACGGAGCGAGCCATTCAGCCACACGGACAGCCAGGCGGCTAAATGAACAGACAGTCAATCAACTTTAAGCAAAAAGCACAACGACAACGACGTTAGCAGCGACGTCGGCACCGACTGCAGCGGCAGCAGCGACAGCGACGGCGACAGCATCAAAGAGAAATGCGCGCGTTCAGAGTTAGCTACAGTTTTAGCCTTAGCTACACACGATCATCCGTTGGAGATGATTTAAGGAGCGCGCTCCGAAAACTATTACAAAATGATCAAAACAACTGAAAAGAAACAGAACAACAACAACAACAACAACAACAACAGCAGCACCAGCAGCAACAACATGAAAATCAAATCAGTGTGCGAACTGGACCTGAACCTCAGCATCTAAATGCTATTCTGGCTCAGACGGCGATCGTATCGGATTGGATCGGTTCGAGACTCGATTACAATAATTACAATCGGCTACGCGAGATTTACCAAATCACAACAACAGCAGCAGCAACAGCAACAGCAACACATCAACATCAGCAGCAGTAACCATATTGCTGCACACAGATGCAGATAAAGATACAGATACAGATACAGATAACTCAGCTATTACGTGCATATACAATTTTTATAAGAAATTGAAGTCAAGAAGCAGAATTAAAACAAAACTCATCAAGCGACGACGTCGAAGATGCAAACACACACGCACAAACACACACACACATACACATATATAGCAGCTGAAGCTAGTAGACACAAACTACGGTGAAAACTAGCTAAAGTGGAAATAAGCATTTTCACAAATATGAAATACCAAGGTAAACAAATTTAAATTTAAATTTAAAAATTTATAAGTTTCTAGACAATTTTAATAGTTCAATATTTTAAATAAATTTTAATATGATAAATTTTATACCACTTAATATTTGACGAATCGATTAAAAAATTGTTTGCGAGTTCGTTAGTGAAGCTTCTTTACTGTATACACATGATATGACTCAATTGCTGTGTATGTGTGCATGTGTGTGTGCGTATAGAAAAAGAACAGACAAACGGACAGAAAGCGGACGGCAGATCCATCTTCAGCTTCATCAAAGCAGCGCAGCAATTTTCAGTTAACAGCTCTCAGCTTTGAGCAAAGCGCACACTGTAAGCGGTTAGCTGTGTATCTGATAGATAGATAGAGAGGGAAAGAGAGAGAGAGCAAGAGCGAGAGAGTGAGAGATCAAGCATCATTGGCACAGCGAATCGGGCAAAACGAGAAATTGAAAAGACAGTTACAACGTCATAATGAAGCTAAAGGCTATGCTGGCAAAACTTTACAAAATCGACGGCAAACCGCATAAAACACAAACACATACACACACAACCACAATCGTGATATTGTATACATACATATATGTATGTGTGAAGGTGTGTGTGTATTTGTATACGAGCTTAGCTTTTTGCAAAGAAAATTTAGCGAGAATAAAGAGCACGCCATCAATTGAAGAGTTTGGAGATTGAGAGAGCCAGTGAAAGGCGTGCGCTTGACAGCGCGTCAACAGTAGCGCGTGTAACGCACGCAGCGAGCAGTGTAATTGGCATGCAGCGTTTTGCAACACTGCCAGCCATTAATAAAATAAAAATGTGATCTCGTTTTATGATAATGAAATACGTATGCATGCATGTGTGTGTCTGTGTGTTCGTAAATTGCTGAAGCTTTGCTATGCAACTGTTGCATCTTGATGCAGTTGCTGACACAGCATCAGGCATGCTGCTAGCATGTGTGTGTATGTTTTTCAAGCAAAATTTATTGATATTCATTGTTTGTTTGTTGTCGATCGTCGTCATCGTCGTCGTCGTTGTTGCCGACTTTGTCGTTGCTCGCTGCCAACTGAAATCACAATTGTTGGAAAAAAGCAAAGAAAAAAAACTGCTGATGCTGCTGTTGCTGCTGCTGCTGTTGCGACTATTCTTTGCTCGGGCCTTCACTTTTTCTAGCCGCACACACACAAACGTTTCCTGCGCGGACACCTATGCACATACAGGCGCACATATATGTACGTGTACGTGTACGTGTGTGTATGAGTGTGTGTAACTGAAGTTTACTTGCAACTGGCTTTTGGTCTATAATTCTTGTTTCTGGCTTTCGTGCTGCTGCAAGAAGAAAAAAATACAGATAAGGAGCCAACGTTAAAGACGCGCGGCCCAGCATCTTTAAACAGGAAACTGCCTGGCGCTGTGGCTCCCAAAGGAAGCAGACCAGTAATATTTACATTTATTGCAAAATTATGCATATGCCTGTTGCTGTTGTTGTTGTTATTATTGCGCCATAGATGCGCACATTTTATGTATAAATATAAACATTGTTGGCAATTTTTTGTTGTTCTCTATAATCTATGCGCACACACACACACATATATATATATATACATATATGCACATCAATAATGTTAAGCTTGGTTTCCAATATAAATGCGCTTTGGCATTTTACAGCACTGCTGTTTTATGCATAGCAGGCAATACGTGTGTGTGTGCGTGTGTGTGTACCGATTTGAATGCCTTCCAATCGTCATGCGATTTCGCCTTGCTTTCCAATATAAATTCGTCTTGCCGTTTTACAGCACTGCCCTTTTCGGTTGGCTTCTGCGTCGTGACTATTGTTTTATTGCATGTTTTATTCAAATATACAGGCAATATGTACTCTAACTAAATAAATCATGCAGCCTTTTATTGTTGAATATATGGAGTCATGCTAATGCTATATATCTAACAGGCAACTGCAACAAAAGCGTTTGTAATTCGAGCCAAGTTTATTAGATCGTGAACCCATTTGGCTTTGAGGGCCGTGTATTTTCGTGGTTGGCAGCGAAAAGCAAGCGGTGTCCCAAAGATTTTCATGGAAAGTTTCTGTGGTTGCTGTTGCAGCTACTTTCTTGTTTACGAAAATTTCACGCTAGTCGAAAGAATTATTAATTGCGCAGCAGCAACGGCAACAACCACCGCAGAAACAACAGCAGAAGCAGCAGCAGCAGCAGCTACCAAGTGGGAATTATGCATCGCTGCGCAGAAGCAGAACGCAGCACACACACATAGGGACGTTGGCTGTGTTGGTATGCGTGTGTGTGTAAGCGCGTGTAAAAATATGGTAAACATGATAATACGTAATAAAAAATAGTGTAACAGAAAAGGGAAATAGTATAAAATCAGGTACAAATTTTCACCAAAAACCGTTTGCGTCGCTTGGCCGCAGTTGTTGTTGTTGTTGCTTTTGTAGCTACAGTTGTTGTTGTTGTAAAAGCTGGCTGGCTGACTTTGACGATTTGGTGGTCACACAGTGTGAAGAATAGGCTAGGAAATATTGTCTGCCAGCTCTGTTTGTTGGCCTGTTACAGATTTGAACAGATCTACCCAACCAGATAACAAATGAAAGTGCCTGAAAGATCAGCGTGGCCGAGAAGTCGAAGGAGAAGCAGCAGGAGTAGGAGGTGTGGGCAACAGAACGAACAAATGAAATGGGCTTAGAGACATTTGGCTGTGGCATGAGAGAACTACAGAAAGTCAACTCCATTTGACATATGATATATGTATGTCCACTGTGGCTGTGGCTGTGTCTGCGCCTATGTGTGTGTGTGTGTGTGTGTGTAAATGCATTATGAAGAAAGATCTGAGATATGCGTTTTGTTTAAGCTTCACTGTGCCTGTGAATATCAGCAACAGGCAGCTACAACTATTAAAATACAATTACAGCACATCTGGGAATACAATCATTAGTAGTGTTGGAAAATGCCATGATACAATGAAAGCACTGTAGAGCGAAAGCGCCAGGTTTTGCCTCACAAATTGAGGCCACCATTATGATTGTGTATTCAAATGTGATTAAGCAAAGGCATAGTGTTGGGTATAGTGTTGTAAAATGTCAATAAACAAAATTTTTACTGCGAATATCATGAAATAAATAATAAATAAATATAAAGATCACATCATTCAACTACTTTACTTAAATGTTATTAAGTCCATCAATTATTAGTTAACGGTTTAAAATGTCATATTGTCAGAATTATTTAATAATTGCCTCGATCAGGCTTAGTAAGCTTTCACATCCCTGACGCTCAGTGTTGTAAAACGTGCCAGGGGATTGGGTTATATTTAGTCCACATTTTACAGCACTGCTTGACAGTATTAGTGTCAATAGGAAAAGGCAGTATGCGCTTAAATATGGCTAGCAAATTTGTAAATTTTGGCTCCAAGCTGTTCAAGTCATCGAAGAACTTGTTAAGTTCTGCATACGCAAAGCGCAGCTCATCGTCGGGCAGTGCTAGAAAATGGATTGGAGCCCGCCAGAAGTTGTTGACTTTTGGTGCGCTGACCGGAGCAACTGGGCTATTGATGTACGCCATGGATGCCAGTGTGGACGCGTCCAGCGACAATGTGCATCCGGCCAAGCAGCTGTGGCCGCACAAGGGCCTGTTGACGGCCATTGACAAGGAGAGCGTACGGCGTGGCTATCAGGTGTATAAGGAGGTGTGCTCCTCCTGCCATTCGCTGCAGTATATAGCGTATCGTAATTTGGTGGGCGTTTGCATGACCGAGTCGGAGGCCAAAGCTGAGGCAGAGGGCATTACCGTGCACGACGGACCCGACGAGGATGGCAACTATTTTGATCGTCCTGGCAAGTTGTCCGACTATATGCCAATGCCTTATCCCAATGAGGAAGCTGGCCGAGCTGCAAACAATGGCGCCTATCCGCCAGATCTTAGCTACATCGTGTCGGCACGCAAAGGCGGCGAGGATTATATATTCGCCCTATTGACGGGCTACTGTGACCCACCAGCTGGCTTTGCGTTGCGCGATGGCCTTTACTTTAATCCGTACTTTAGCGGAGGCGCCATTGCCATGGGTCAGCTTATCTCCAATGAATCGGTGACCTATGCTGACGCAGATGTGGCACCATCAGCCAGCCAAATTGCTAAGGATGTGACCACATTTCTGTGTTGGACTTCGGAGCCGGACTATGACATTCGCAAGCTTCTCGTAATCAAGGTGTTCATCATATCATCATTTTTGATTGCACTCACCTACTACATAAAGCGCTTGAAGTGGTCTTCACTGAAGACACGTAAGATATTCTATCTTCCAGAGATTCAAGAGAATGCTAAGAAAGCTGCCGAAGGTGCTAAGAATTCAAAATAATTATAGTTCTTGCAATTATAATATAATAAAAAATCTTACAATTTGAATTTCGCGGGTTGAAACGGTTATGGTTGTGATGTACGTAAACGTGTTAGAGATGATATTCAGCAAAATCATCGTTTCAATCGATAGCTCCTGGGGCCTCCCATAGATTTATTTGTTTGTAAGTCAGTTTCAAATACGAAAACACACATTTCAGTCAACTGGCAAGCGTGATCTCTGTTTAAAACCAAATTTATGTAAATTACTCTTTTATCGGGCGAATTTAGTACCAGTGTTGCTGTGCGGTAGAGTGAGGCTACGCGCAGCAGGGCTGCCACCTATCGATGATTTGTTCTAAGACACTACGTTGACTATTTACCAATACCTTTTCGATATAAGATAGAAAACGTCGCCGCGTCGTCCGCGTCGAAACTAACAGCTGATTTACTTAAAAAATATACCGGTGCTTTTATGGCATCCCTCGATTTTATGAGAGCGCTGAAATTTGCGGCACAAAAACATAGTAAACAACGCAGAAAGGATCCGGACTCCACGCCGTACGTTAACCATCTCATAAATGTTGGCACAATATTAGCAGAGGCTGGTATTAAAGATGAAGGCGTGCTTATTGCGGCTGTATTGCACGATGTTGTGGAGGACACAGACGCAACCTTTCAGGAAGTGGAGACCCTATTCGGCGTAGATGTCTCGAACCTAGTACATGAATTGACCGATGACAAAACTCTGGAGAAGGCGGAACGCAAACGCTTGCAAATAGAAAAGGCGGCAAAATCCACAAAACGCGCTAAACTTATCAAATTGGCCGATAAGCTGGACAATCTGAGAGATCTGCAAATGAACACGCCACAGGGTTGGACAGAGGCAAATGCTGAGTAGATTTAGTCGAATTTAAGCTGATTCAATTTCTTACACAATTGCAGGAACGCCGCGAGGAGTACTTTGAATGGGCCAAGCGGGTGGTGGATAATTTACGCGGGACGAATGCGATGATCGAGGAGAGCCTGGACCAGATTTTCAGGGACCGAAATCTGTTATAAATATTGCAAAGGGTAGTTGAAGCTGGAAAAGATTGCTTTCGCTGAGCAACAACTGTTATAAATAATACAACACAAATTGCGAATTTTAGTTTTTATTGTTCTCATAGAATGCCAGCATGAGCTTGGCCAGCTTTTGCGTCTCGTCAAGAGTAATGGCATTGTAAAGAGAGGCACGTATGCCGCCCACTGAGCGATGGCCCTTCAGCTGTATCATGCCCTCAGCCTCGGCTTTGGCCAAAAACTCCTTCTCTAACTGCTCGTTGCCCGCGCTGCTGCCAATGCGGAAGGGCACGTTCATGCGGGAGCGCACTTGCGTCTGCACGGGACAATAGTAGAAGCCATTCGATTTATCTATGATGTTGTAGATGAGCTGCGACTTGGCCTTGGCGCGTTCCGACATGCCTGCAATGCCTCCGTTGGCTTTGATCCACTTGAAAACGAGGCCCATGACATAGATGCTATAAGATACGAATTTCAGATGAGATTCTTAGGGCTCTTGAGAGCGACTTACCCGAATGTGGGCGGAGTATTGAGGAGTGAGCTGTTCTTGTCCATCAGCTCAAAGTTCAGTATGGACGGTGTAACTTTCAAATGCTTGCCAATCAGGTCCTCGCGCACAATGATCACCGTGACACCAGCGGGGCCAATGTTCTTCTGGGCACCAGCGTAAATCATGCCGAACTTGCTGACATCGATGGGCCTGGACAGAAAATTGGATGACATGTCGCACACTAAGGGCACCTTCACCTCTGGCACAAAGTCGAACTCAACGCCCTCCACAGTCTCGTTGTCGCAGTAGTAGACGTAAGATGCATTCGGATCCAGTTTCCACGTGCTTTGCCTGGGCACTGTAGTGTACGATTCCAGCTTGGGCAGCACAGCATTCACCTTGCCATACTGTGCAGCTTCCTTTGCTGCCTTAGCCGACCACGAGCCGGTGATGACGTAATCTGCAGTGCCAGTGCTCCCAATGAGATTTAGGGCAGATGCTGCAAACTGTCCCGTGCCGCCGCCTTGCATCAACAGTATTTTATAGTTTTGTGGAACGTTGAGCAGTTCGCGTAGATCGGCAATAGCCGCCTCCTGGATTTTTCCATAGTTGCTGGAACGATGGGACATTTCCATGACCGAGATGCCGCTGCCATTGCAATTCAGCAGATTAGCTTGCACTTCTTTCAGCACCTATGCGGAAGAAAATTACAGGACTTGCTTATAACCTTGAACACGTTTATGCGTTTTTTCTTTTTTTTTTTGCTGACCTCTTCGGGCAACTTGGCTGGGCCGGCGGCAAAGTTGATAACCATATTGATGATGCTTTCTCCGATTTACGAACCTCGTCAGCAACTCGTTAAAATAGAACTGAAAGTGTTGTGGCTGGCGGCAATGGAAGCGATCGACTCAGACGGCAGCGTCGACGGCGGCGCAGTCTGCTGATAAATAATATGAGCATAAGGCAGAGAATCGCAGCGACTTACATATATGTATGTACGTATATGTTTGTGTGCACAAAGAGTGTACGGCAAAACAAGCTGGACAGGGAACTTTAAGTCAGAGGCGTCCGCCGATTCAATTGAAAACTAAAGCTTTCAAGCACTTCATTGGCTACGCCACTGGCTAAGCAACAGCGGCGAAGGCGAAACTGAAGCTCAGACAGCTTCTAAAACCGATCAAAACAAGTGTGCAAGCCGCAGCGAAAACAACACGCGATTTACGCCGCGCCTCAATTCGCCCCAATGACGTTGTTGCTATGCACTTTACTGGAAAGACGTAAACAAGTGTAAATGCAAGCCGTAAACAAGAGTAGAGCAAATATGCAAGTACAGTAAAGCTTGACTAAGGTGAGAGAACTGCAAGTAACAAGTAAGTAACAGAACAAATGCTTACATTTTTAAATATATAAACTCAAATATAATTAAAAAGATTTTCGATTTATATATAATTAACTTATAAGAACTTTGTTCTTTTCTTTTTATTTTATATGTTAATTAAAGCTTTTCTCACGTAGTGCATAACATGACTGACAGGTTTAGTCAATACAATCAAACAATTCTGTTTTTAATAATCAGATGCTTATATATTATTGATTACGGGGACTTTAATTTATTCATTCCATCTCCATTTATACAAATAAACAGCAAATTCAAGTAGAAAAATATATAAATTGCATAGTTAAAATAAGATTCCAAGCATTTCAGGCCTTTCTGTGGCCAACTGGCTAGTTAATAGGCCTATTTACAGCATGTTTACATATATAACACATATATAATACATATGTATATAGATTACGGCTGAGTTCTTATCTTACTGATTCGACGATGATATCGTTACCGGAAATAATAACTTTCTCAGAGTTGAAGTGGCTGAATTTTTATTTATGCCAAACAAGTCTCAACTGCTCTAATTACTTTATCAGTCGTCCATTGATTTAGAACGCATGTGAACTGCTTCAGTTTTCCAATTTAGTTCCAACAACCGTTTGGCAGAGCGAAATTCCAATAAGATGCAGGCAACGTGCCTGGAAATTTAAACATGTGCCTATTCGTGCGCTGCTTAAGTGTTTGTGTTTGTGTGTGTGAGAGCGAGAGCAAGTGATTCGTGTGAGTGTAGGCAGTAAGTAGTCAATCTGTGTGTGTGTGAGTGAGTGAGTGAGTGGTCATTCATAAACGTTAAGCCAATAATTTAGTGTTGTTTGGCAAGGGGCTTGGCCCGTTTTGGTCTTTAATGAGGCCTGCACTAAAGAAAGAAAAACAAGCAAACGACAAAATCGTTGTGTACTAAATTAAGTGTTTATGATTTATTGCAACATTTAATGCACAATTCTAGAATTGTATTCGCGTTGCAGCCTACTGCGGTTGCGGTTGCGGTTGCGCTTGCACCTTGCCCACAATGTCGCTCCAGAAATTGCCATAGTCTTTCAGCACAGTGCCGCTGCAATGAGAAGTCGAATACGAGAATATGTTGTAATATATGAAACAAGTTTTCAATTAAACATAAGCTACAAATAGTCATAACTAGATGAGTCAACAGTTTTGGCAGAGATTTTCAAAAGACTTTCCAACACTGCGCTACAAAAGTGTGTGAATACTTTTAGTTAATTTGTTAATGTTGTGAAGGCATTTAATTGCATGTTTATTGTTATTAATAACCGCCAGCTGAGTGAGTTAAGCAGTTAAGTCTAGGCCCTGTGCGACAACATTTTGTTGGCTTCTGCCATCATTTATCAAGAAGAGTCAGTCTAAAGTCAGCCAGCCTGGTGTGGTATTAACTATGTAGACTCATTCCAGTGCCGACATATACATAATTTATTTATCATTTGGCACATTATGCGTATGTCAAGTGATAAATGATAAGCTGTCATGCCTCACACACGTACATAGACACTCACTATGCAGCAGAGTGTTGCTATTGTGTTGCATTTGAGTGAGAAACATCAACAACTTTTTGCCGACGTCATTGTCAGCGGCTTTTTGTCGCAACTCTTTGGCTTCACTCGCAGCATTTTCTCCAAGCAACAAATCAATTACGTAAGGCCTTTTCTTTGATTATCCGGCAATTATGTGCGCATTGGCTATGTGGGTCAATGTGTCGTATGATTAATGAGCTGGGCCCCTTGCGTTGACAATGATTGAGCCGAAGAGCTTGACTTGAGAATTAGCCAAGTGCCACAGCATCGGCGGCTTCATGTTGATCCTTTCGACTTACGTAAAGTAGACGTTGCCTCGCTTATTTTGGGGCGCCTTCCATATGAGCTTGGCGCCCAGCTTGTCCCGATTATCCGAATGCGTTATGGCCGAGCACTCGGGTATGGTCTTGGTGTTCTCGCTCAGCTCCCACTCGCCGATCCACTCGTTCGAGTTGGCATCGCGCGCCTGCAGAAAGAAGCCGCGAAAGGTGGTGGACTGCTGCTGCTCCCGGGCGTAAATGACCACCGAGACCTGCTGGCCCGGATGATAGGTCTGCGAGCTGGCGACCACCTCGAACGGATTCGTGTGCTCCGGCTGGGTGCGCGCCTTGCCATGATTCGGCTGATTGGCGCGCTGCTTGACGCACGTGTCTGCGGGCGCACCGTCCGGAAAGGCCCAAACGCCGGCGAGCAGCTGCAGCAGGAGCAGCGCACGATTGCAGTTCCAGTACCGATTTGCCATGTCTATGCGTTCGCAATTCCGTTAGTCGCGCGCGCTTGGCGTTAATCAAATATTAAAACTCTTGCGCTGACCGGCGGCGTTGGCGCTTTTAAAGCCCCGAGCTGTGCGTCCGAAAAAAAGCTCATGCTATTGGCATGGGCGTCGCGTTGGCTTTGCCGCCAGCTCTGTTTGGGCCAACCAGTTTTTAATGATCAAAACGCCAAATAGTTATGCGCAGTTCCTTTCCTGCAGTGCTCCAAACTGGGTCAAACATTAGCGCTTTGATGCAGCCGCCGCCTCCTGCTCCCTTCTGGCTGCAGCCAGCTCCAAGCTTCCAAGTCCAGAGCGCTCTGACTCAACTTGGCTCGTCGGGAGTTTATTTGGTTTGTTTTGGGGCGCTAAGTGCTCCATTACGAAATTCTATGCTTCTAATCGTGGCCCACTGTCGATGTTGTTGGCCTTGTTTGCTTTGCAGCTCAGCTCAGCTCAGCTCAACTTTGCGTATTTTCGCATTTCTGTTGCGCGTTTAATGTGTTAATTGACAGGCGTTGCTGCTGCGGCTGCTGCTGCGGCTGCTGCTGCTGCTGCTGTTGTTTTCATTGAGCTTTTGATTTCCATTTCGCAGCATTGGCTTTGGCTTCCTTTAAAATCTACAACCTGTTGTCACATGTCGCCCAAAAACGTCATCGAATATTAATTTAATTAAATAATTTGCCATGGAGAGGGCTCTAAACGTTTGTGCTTAGCTATGAAATTTACTTTATTAGCTGCAAAAGTTATGCCTGGGAATTGTGAATGGGATTTGATATAGAGTCTTGGCAGAAAGAAATATAAGAGCAAAGAACTGAGATGGATAGAGCTAGGATGGATAGATCTGGGATAGATAGAGGTAGGATTGATTCAGCTAGGATTGATTGAGCTAGGATAGATAGATAAAGCTAGAATCGACAGAGCTAGGATTGATAGAGCTAGGATTGATAGTCCTAGGATTGATTCAGCTAGGATGGATAGAGCTAGGATAGATAGAGCTAGGATTGATACAGCTAGGATTGATTGAGCTAGGATAGATAGATAAAGCTAGAATCGACAGAGCTAGGATTGATAGAGCTAGGATTGATAGTCCTAGGATGGATAGATCTGGGATAAACAGAGCTAGGATTGATTCAGCTAGGATGGATAGAGCTAGGATAGATAGAGCTAGGATGGATAGAGCTGGGATAAATAGAGCTAGGATTGATTCAGCTAGGATAGATAGAGCTAGGATAGATAGAGCTAGGATTGATTGAGCTAGGATAGATAGAGCTAGCATAGATAGAACTAGGATGGATAGAAGTAGCAATGCAATGCTTAAGAGGCAAAGCTGTAAAGTCAAGACTTTAGCTTTGAGGAGAAGCAAATAGACTGATAGATGGCTAAGCCAATGCAGTTTAGATATATATCTACCTTTAGAGCATGTTGAAGTCTGCTTCTAGTTCTATGAAAACTGAAGCTGACTGACAAAAATCTATAAGCGCGATCAAGATTCAAACTGGTGCTGAATACTGTGTGAGGAACGTTACATAAGGATTCTAGGATACCAACAGCTAGCGATATAGGCCTAGCTATGCTCTCAGGCTAACAGCGCATCCAAGCCTTCTCACATTTAATCTAGCTGCCAATAACAACAGGCGAAGGCGTAAAAGTTGACCTGCTCTGGAAACTGATGAGCTTGAAATATTGCAGAATATAATAGAATAAGGAATAAATATGTCTAGATTGAAGTTGTATAGTTGTATATATAGAGTTGTATATATAGAGAACTGCAAGCCCAGTCACAAGTTAAGGCTGAGAGGGCTAAAGTCTAAAGCCAACTGAAAGTTATTCATTATGAATATGTATTTAGCTAGGCAAAAGTTGCTGTAAGCTGAACCACTAAAAAGTAAATATAATTTAGAAAAGTTTTGCAACAGGATTGCACATTTATAGATGTTAATTAGAGATACAAATTCAAATGCGAATAAACATTTATGAGCATGACAACTGTGTAATAAGCAGAGTTTTGTCTGTTTGCTGGCCAAATGAGTTTGAGCTGTGCAAATAGATGACAACGGCGACGGCATGTGAGTAATCGAGTTTGCCTGTTAGTCGGTTATATTAATTAACTTTAGTTGCTTGTAGTGCAATGTGCTTGGTGGGAAATGTTTTTGGTAAATATTTAAGCGCAATTGTTGAACTTTTTACTAGCGGCTGCTGCTGCTGTTGCTGCTGCTGCCTGTCGGTGTCTGCCAAGGGTCAGTTAACCCGAAAGCCCAAGCCGGACTAATCAAATACGAATTCGTGCTGGCGCCCAGTAAGTCATGTATTATAGATGCGGCAAATGCGAACTTTTTGCTCCCAGGCGTTAACAGGCGCTGCCCAGCCAGAGCACACTGTACAGTAGAGCGCATAGCAAATGACATTTGTGCCACATCACGCCCAAAGTTTAACAAACAGATGCAAACCAACCAGTCAGCCAGCCAGCCAGCCAATCCTCAGCAGCTGTCGACCCAGACCCCATCCTCGGTCCCAGGCCTTCGCCAATGCATGCGAAATTGAGTAAGAAGCACGGCAAACGGTTCCTTTAACCGATGGTCGATGTAAATAGTACAAAACAGCGCACTTTATGAACGCCAGCCAGGGCTAGGGGCGGGGAGGGCGGTGGTAGCTGGAAAATCCACTTCATCGACGTTGGCGCGGAAAAGTGTGTCACCTGCAGGACGGCAGAGCGCATGTCCTGTGAGCACGCTGGTGAAACGAATTTTTCAACAATTCGACTTGGACTTGAATAGGGCTTGTGTCGTGCGAGTCGGCCAGAACGCAGTCAGACGTTGTAGCGCGTGGTCGTGCCAAAGAGAAGACAACGGCAACCATAAAACCAAATCAAACCAAACACAATAACCAACAACAACAACAACAACAACAACAACAAGAACGTCTAGAACTAGAACAGCAGCCAGGCGAACGAGAAAATTGTGAGCAATTTGTAATTTTTCATACTATATATTTTACGCGCGCGAGACTCGGTGCATGTGAGTGTGTGTGTGTGTATGAGTGTGTTGTGTAAGAGAGTGTATGAGTATTTGTGAGTGTGTGTGTGTGTTTGAGTGAGTGAAGTCAGCCAGAGGCTAAAGAAGAAACAAAGTGCCACAGAAATCCGCTCAACGGCAGCGGGCCAAAAGTTTCGTCTGTTGATTTTTGGCAACAAATGAACAGAAAAAAGAAAGAAAAGAAGTAAACTGAACGTAATGCAAACAGAAGCGAGCAACAATAACAAACAATCAGATCAACTCGACGCCTCACAAATCAGTCGAACATATAGCATATATAATACATTCATGCATATTGAGTAAATATTGGGACATGTCAATGTTTGACGGGCTCGCAGTAAACTCAAAAAGAAATCAAACTGAAAATGAAACTGAAAATCAATGCGAATAAAAAGGGAAATATATATAGATATATATATGTGCGTATTATATGTACTTGTACGCTGCGTATACGTGATATGCACGAAGGTACAGAAATAGGAGCCAGCACAACTCAAATAATAATAAAGCGAATTCTCACGTGACGCATAAAGAACAAGCACACACAAAGAGAAGAGAATATGCGATATATAAGCTTTAAGCCAACTGGCACACACAAACACACACACACACAGTCGCACACCTGGCCGCTGATTATGTTGCGCTGCATACTTTTAGGGGCAGCACAAAAATGACAAACAGCAACAGCCGCATTTTGCATACATTGAATTTAATGAACTTTATACAGCTGTGTGTGTGTTTGTGTGTGTGTGTGTGTGTTGGTGTGCTTGCCTGTGTATTGTAATACCGCATTTTGCTTTTAATAATTTAGCGCACTCAGTAGTAAATGGCGCGTTTAAAGCATGAACCCAAAAGAAAAAAAAATTGCCATTTAATGCCGCCTCGCTAACGCTGCCTGTGTGTGTCCCTGTGTGTGTGTATTAGTGCTGCTGTTGCTGTGCAATAACAACCCCAGGCTAAAAGGCACACTAACACACTTTAGCCAAACTCTGTTACTGAGGACTACGTCATCCTAGCCAGCCAGCCTGGAGCTGCCTTTGGCAACGTCGTCACATTTGCGCATTCACAATCACATCGCGTGGCATAGGCCTGGCCTCAACACACACACACACACACACACACACATCTGTTAGTGTATGTGGCTGGCATGTGAAGTTATACGTACTCGCCCCGGGGCTTGGATCGATTTGGGATAGACATTGCGGCAGCTGCTGCAGTTGCAGAAGTTGCACTTGCCACATGCCACTTGGCCAACGAGCTGCAAGTATCTGCAGCCGTCATACACGTCATCAATAGCACTAGCAAATCGAATTTCAAACCAAAAGCTCAGACTATTGACAATTTCCTTTGCAAACAGCAAATGCCGGCGGCACTGCTGCTGCTGCTGCTGCCAAGTGTTGCAGTAAATTTTGACATTATCAACAAAAAGGTCTGACCCTTGACCTTAGCCAGGGGCAACAGCATGTGTCAGCTCGCTTGATGCTACAGCTTAGCATTCGCTTTCGATTTCCTTGCGAAATTATTTGCCATCAAATCGCATGTCGCCTGTTCCGCTGGCAGCCCATATCCTTGTCGCAGAGTTTGCGTTTATAATTTATATTACTTGTTCGCTGCCATTGTTTCAGCTGTGCTTGGCCTTGTCTAAATGCGACTCTCTCACTGTGTGTGTGTGTGTAGCAGTATCTGAGACCTTTAAGTATGCCCACTGGCATTTGGCGCTCTGTTGGTCCCGGGGACGGATTTTAGGCTCTTTACGACTATTAAAATATGCATTTAAATATATATCCTCTTACGTCGCTGCATGTATGTGTGCCCTGAGCCTCTGTGCTGAAAATTGAAATTGTGCGGTTATTTACTGAACGTCTTGGCGTTGATTGCCGTTACGCCCCATTGCCTGGTACATGGCTATAATAATGATTGCAATTTTATGACCCAGCCAGGATAAATTGCCGTCGG